ATAACTATTTAAATCGTTTCATTCCATTGTAATTACATGTATAAAACAGCAGCATGAGTCCAGTTAAAGGCGCAGAACTAGAAATTTTTCAAAGGGGAGGTTGAATTAAGGAATAACTGTCTAATTTTTTGGATTCATGATGTGATCAATCGAGTGGCTTGCGTGATAATTTGCATAAACGCCGAAGGCGTTTATGCATAAAATTATCACGCAAGCCAATCGATTGATCATCGTCATGAATCCAACAAATCTGACAGTTATTCCTTATATTTACATGCTCCTGATTCTGCAAATTCCCGTGCTAATAGCCCCGCTTCTGTCTCTATTTGTCCCGCCCCGCACGTGATTTTTTTTAACCGCGCCTATCGATGAACCAGTAGATTTATGTAGAAATAAAGTATTTTTACAATTTGTAATTTTATCTCGGACAAAGACATTGGAAATGTAAATATGAGGAAATATTTACATTTCCAATTTCCAATATTTACATTTCCAATTTCCAACGCCTTCGGCGTTTAGGCAAATTATCACGCAAGCCACTCGATTGATCACATCATGAATCCAAAAAATTAGACAGTTATTCCTTAAATAAGAGTTGTTATACTGTACGTTTACAAGGTTAAATGATAACTTATTAGGAATACTCAGGCCCGTAGCAACGGTTTCAAAAGTGGGGGGGGGGGGGGCAAACTTGCCAAAAAAAGTTGACAAGCAAAAAAAAAAAAAAAAAAAAAAAAAAAAAAAAAAAAAACCTAATTAGCTGTCCAAATCCTAGAATATGCCAGTTCTCGACTTAACAGCGGCAAAAAGTGGGGGAGGGGGCAACCAGCATCTAAAGGAAAATTTATAGCAAAATATGTACTCCGCACAAAAAGTGCCCCCCTCCCCGCGTTCTACGGGCCTGATACTATCAATTAATAACAACACTTGTTAAAATAAAGATACAGATTATACATATGTAAAATAAAAATAAAATGCTAAATTTCATATTTAAATGTAAATCAGGCCACCTAGCTTTAGTGATTTGAAAATTTGCCCTTTAAAAGGTAGTACACAACACCCATGAAATCTGTTTTAACGCATACCACCGGTATCTTATAAAGTACACCAGAAAAAAGAATAATTTCACCATAATGTCAATAATCAATTTCTGTTATATGATAAACATGTAACTCTGACAAATGAGTATGTTATTTTGCCATATAGTAAATTGTCATTTAGATGTTGGTTGCCCCCCCCCCCCCTTTTGTCGCTGCATGTCAGATTATTTTGGGAAAAATTGACCCTCCCACATTTTGGAAAGTTCCGTTAATTCCCCCCTTTTTTTTCTTTGTTTGTCAGATTTTCTGGGGAGATCCCCCTCCTACAACTTTTGAAACCATTGCTAGACATTTTTTAAATTCCTGGATGAACCTCTGAATGTTGGAAAACATTTAATCTTTAATTCAAATATGACATACATGACATATGAAAATATATCTAGTGGACATGAAGATTTTTAGGCGTAAGCTAAACTATCATAGAGTTATCTTTCTTTATATATCTTACATGGACGTGTACCACAGGCACCTGCCATGTATGAACTTACACACACGTTTGCTCATAAACTAACTTTATAATTGTTATTTATGGATGAAGGATGCCAAAAAAGTGAAAAAGCAGAAACGTTGTAATAAAATGACTAAATGAGTATGAAATCTATGAAGAGTTACTGAATATAATAAGGGTACGTATTCTAAGAAATACAGGTTAACCCCAAACGTAAAATTAATGAAAAATGTATGATTAAATGATATATTGTTACCCATAATTACCCATTAATTTACATATATCATTTGACATGATAAAGGGGAAAAACTTTCGCTAATCTCGTTTTGTTCAACTTTTCATCTTTGAGAAAGAAATAGTGCTTTTAAGCATTTCATACCTCCTAACTGGTCAATAATGTTTTAATCACCAAATAAAATTCAATTTACAATATGGCAATTAATTTTGTAGGATAATTTTGGCTTGTATGTCATTGTTTTAGTTGCAAGTTTTTGAACTTCAGGTCTTTGTACTGCCTCATGCAAATATTTGTCTTCGGCTTTCTTTATATTCCATTTTTGCAAAAGATATGCTTTGTCTAAAATTGGTACACATGTGAAGATGAGACAATACAATACCACCCTTATCAACGCTATACCACGAAAAACAGCGACTGCCATGACTGCAATCAGCAACATCACAAATCAGTGTTGAAAGCAATATTATTAAAATTAATTTAAAAGTAGCTTGACCACCTTCAGAGCTATCAACTACAACACCTCTACCCACACAGCACCATCTCTAGCTTCACCACACCGTTATCACCACTATCATCTATACGGCACTACCAACTACAAAAATACCTCCACCACATAGCACCAACTCCAGCTTCACCACACCGTTATCACCACGATCACCTACAAAAACATCTCCACCACACAGCACCAACTCTAGCTTCACCACACCGTCATAACAACCATCACCTACAAAAACACCCCTACCCACACAGCACCAACTTTTGTTATCAATATCATCATCTACAGGACTGCCAACTAAAAAACTCTACCCACACAACACCAACTATAGCTTCAACACATGACCATCACCACAATCACCTACAGTACTACAAACTACAACACCTCCACCCACACGGTACCAACTCTAGCTTCACTGCACCGCTAAAACCACCATCACCTAAAGCACTACCAACTACAACAAAACCCCTACCCACACCGCACCAAGTCTATTTTTACCACACCGTTATCACCACCATCACCTTCAGCCCCACCAACTTAAAAAAAAAACAGATACACAACGCACCCACTATAGCTTCACCAAACTGACACTCTCCACCATCAACTACAGCATCACCACCAACAACAGTACTACCTCCATCCTCACAGTACGAATTCTATCTTCATCACACCGACATCATCAATATACCCACAGCACCATCAAGTACAGCAACAACATATCTACGTACAGAGTATAAACTCTAACTTCGTCACACCGCATTCCAGCATCTCTACCTACAATACAACTAACTGTTAAAAACACCTCCATCGATCCACACAGCACCAGCCCTAGCTTCACCACATCACGTCCCATCTATGCCTACAGCACTACCAACTACAAAAACACCTCTACTCACACAACACTAAGTCTAACTTCACCACACGGCCATCAACTAGAGCACCGCTGACTATAAAAACACAACAGATACAGCCCCACTTTAGCTTCACCACACCGCCATCACCACCATCACCTAGAGCAACGCCGACTACAACACCTCCATCCCACAGCACCAACTCTATCCTCAACACACCGCTAAAACCACCATCACCTATAGCACTACTAATTTACCCACTTTCACCACACCACATCCCAGCATCACTACCTATAGTACCACAAACTGCAACAGCATATCCATCTACACAGCACCACCCCTACTTCCACCACACCTCACCCCAGCATCACTACCTACAGTACTACAAACTAAAAAACATCTCCATCCACAACGCACCACCCCTAGTTTACCACATTACATCCAAACACCACTCTACTACTAAGCACAACTACACTTCCACCCACACAGTACCAACTCTAGCTTAATTACACCGCATCACCATCATCATGAAATATGAAGATAACGAACAGTATTCAATCTCGAAAGTCCAATGAAACGATACAAATTTGGAGCAGAGCAAACACGGACCTCAAAATGTAAAGGTGGGATCAGGTGCCACTACCTACAACAACACCTTAACCCACACAGTACCATTTTAGCTTCACCACATCACCATCATTATAACCTAGAGTACATCAACTACAAAAACATATGCATCCCACATAGCACCAACTCTAGATTCACCACACCCTAACATCACTGCAAGTTTAACAAGTTGTTTTTTTTTTTTTGTTGTTTTTTTTTTTAAATTGAGATACATTTATCAGGCACTTGAGCAAGATTTCTAGAGGATGGCATTTTTTTAATAATCCTAATTGATTAATTAAATTCTGTGCAAACTCAAAAGAAAATACAAAGGGACATGCCGGTAATCGAAGATACTCTTTAATCCACCTTGGAACAAATCCAGATTGCTTTATTTGAATTCTTCACTACAAGGAGATTCAAACAGAAACATTGATGAATATGTCGCGAGACCTTAAATCAGTGACAACACCACTACAACACCACTACAAACGACAAAGAAGAAGAAATAATTTTGGAATTTCACTTTGCAAAAGGATGATCATATCATTGTGCAAAAATTAGTCTATTTGGCAGTAAGTGACATATGGTTCATCAGGAGAGTTATTTTAAATCAGTTAATATTGTTCACTTTTTCTTTAGGAACTTGGGTTTAAAACTTGCATGACTTTGGACTTTCTGAATCTGAATCTTGTCAGCCCAATAATATTTTTTGTTAAAATGAGTAAGCTATCCTAAGGAGTATGGGACCTGTTTTACAAAAGAACTTACGACTAAGATCAAAATGTTATCATTTTCCTTTTTGCATTACTTTGAAAATGGTTATAATCTTTTTGAAAAGAATTTAGAAAGATATTTTTATGCATTTTTAACAGAACATAATTAAGTTTTGTAAGATTTTACAGTCAACGAAAGTTTTTAGTCTTAGTTGTAAAATCTTTTGCAAAACGGGACCCTGATTTTCAGATTTTCTAATACCGGATATTTCATGAAACGTCCATCATCGTTTGAAAAAGGGCGTAACCTCAGAACTTCAATAAATCAGACTTATTATATAAGAAAAGTGAAACTAGCAATATTTAAAAGGAAAGACCTAAAGAGACACCAAAAGAGTTTACACCAGGTTAAAGAACAAACATGCACTAAAATAATTTGATCAGTATGTCATAGACTCAGATGAGCTGAAACAAAAAAACCATTAAAAAGATGTAGTTTGTAAATCGTAATACTGAACTCTTTTATCTGATTTCACATCAACTTAAATAGAATAAACGCACTTATCATATGCTAATCAAAATAATTACACACACTGTGAACTTATAGCTGGATATTTCTTAAAGCTAAACAGAGACGTGACCATGGCTAAATTAATATTAAGAATTATATTTATTCGTACAAACATGCTGTCTTAAACCTCTGTGATTGCACATCTTACAACACGGTGACTTCAGTTTCTCTAAGAATGGTTATTTCATGACTAGTTTTGAATTTATTCTCCAACCCGGCCATTTCCCTCGAGCCTGTCCCGATTCCTGACGGATGAATTTCACTCTCTGGACTGACGGTATCATCATCATCACCAACAAAAGCGTTGTTCATTACTCCAAATGGACAAACCTCGCGATGGGTTGATGCCTGAAAAGCTTGCTTTTCTATTATTTCATCTTTTCCAGCGAATCCTTTATTTACCTGCACACTTTGAGAACTGAATTTAGACATATTTTTACCATTCAAATGAATCATTTTCAGATCTGTATTTATGCCTGTCTCAGAAGTCGACCGTTCGTTGTCATGAGTTTCAGTCACGTGACCATTTATCATATTCTGGTTTTTATATTTCAGATCTGACACCGATGACTGCTTGGCTGGGTCACCAACAGAAATCTCCTCCTCCAATGTGGGGTCTTTTGCCCACGACTGTTCTACTCCACTGCCGAGGACAAGGAACATCATAGCACTGCATACGGACAAACTGGCGCAAATGAAGAAAACAACTTGCCATTCTTCCTGGGTTCTCTATGAGAAAAAAAAATTATTGAACTGTGAGTATAAAATGAAAAGAAACCAAATATAAGTAAAAATTCTTCCAAGCACTTATAATCAACCTCTACCCTGAGAGTTGTCGTTTGTTAAGTTTGCAGCTGAGTGAAAGGAACAACATATCTAGGTGGAAATAAAATTACTGTGCATTTCATTGTGTGTGTATGTGTGTGTGTGTGTGAGAGAGAGAGAGAGAGAGAGAGTTCTACTATAAATGCTTTAAATACTAGCTACATGCACCCGTCAGTGTAAGAAATAATATTTATAAATACATGTATAATATTTAAAAAGATGCTTGAGTTTCTGATTGACATATCTATGTGGTATTTAAGACCAGGTCTTCCAACAATCTATTGGAGTTGCCATGGGTACCAATTGCGCCCCGTTATTAGCAGACCTTTTTTGTATTCATATGAAGCAGAATTTGTCCAATATCTTATACGTGATAAGAAGAAAACACTCGCTGTGGCCTTCAACTCGACATTTAGATATATCGACGACGTATTGTCAATTAAAAATTGTTATTTCTTATGTCGATACGATATATCCCAGTAAGCTTGAGATAAAAGATACTACAGAGTCGGACACATCTGTTTCATATTTGGATATTTAACTTGAAAAAGACATTAATGGTAATCTAACAACCAAGCTTTAAGATAAACGTGATAACTTTTCAATCGTCAACTTCCCTTACTTATGCAGCAATATACCTTCATCACCTGCATACGGGATTTATGTCTCTCAGTTGATTCGATACGCAAGAGCATGCTCTACGTATGCACAATTTCTAAAATGAGGTAAATTATTGACAAACATGTTGATGAAACAAGAATATCAGCAGTCTCGATTAAAGTCATCATTTCGTAAGTTCTATGGTCGTTACAATGACCTTGTCAGCAAATTCAATTTATCATTGAGTCAAATGCTGACTGACGTTTTTCATACTAATTGTTAGGCCATCATTTACACACTGAATTGTCGACGGATTTTTCCGTTATTTCCCGATCATGACAAGGAGCACACGGCGGGTGTGACCGGTCGGCAGGAGATGCTAACTCCTCCATGGCACATGATCCCACCTCTGATGTTTTGGAGGTCCGTGTTTGCTCTGCACCTATTTTGTAATGTTTAATGAACTTTTGAGCTTGAATACTGTTCGTCATCTCCATATATTTCATTTATTAAAAAACTCTTATGAAAGGTATTATTAAATGAAGATAGACCTACGTTTTTTGTAAGCTCAAACGTAACGATGGGGGACAACATGGCCGCAACATGTAACACGGTGACCGACATGCCTGTTAACACACCAGCAAACCTTATGAGAAAAAGGATACCTTAGAAGAACAAAATTAAAATAACACTCAAACTTTGCTAAAACATAAATAGAAAATTTTCCTTTTAATAGAATATTTGTGTCTCATTGAACCCCCTAAAGTGTGCCAAACGACATTAATGCTCTTTCAATCCAGTAGATATGAAAGGTTTTACTCTGTTTGACTGAGACAAAGGACAGTCCATACTTTGGGTGTATGTAGTTTACATATCGTATAAACTTTGATTCTTTGTTTAATTGAAGTAAAGTCTAAACCTTGGTGCTCTCTGTATTTAAAGCATATACTTTGGTCCTATGTCTATTTAACAGATGTAAATGCTGTACCTTGGTGCTATGTATATTTAACATGTAGAGGTTACAGCTGTACCTTGGTGTAATATCTTAAACAGACGTAAAGACTGTGTCATGGTGTTATGCATATTCATCAGACTAAAAAAGGCTATAGATTGGAGGTAAGTCTATTTAACATACTTTAAGGCTATACTTTTGCTTTGTTAACAAACAAAAAAGACTGAGAATTGGTTCTATGTCTATTTAACAGGCGTAAAGGATAAACCTTGGTGCTAGGTCTGTTTAACAGACCTTGCATGATGGTATGTCTTGTTAACAGATGTGAAGGTTATACCTTGGTGCTATATCGATTACATTGACACGGAGACTGCTGGTATTGAGAGCCTGGATAAACCAGAAGATGACAAGGAGGAGGACAGCATAGCTTGCCTGGGAACTGTCCATGTAACTGAGACCAATTAAGAATGGAACAGACAGGATGTTACCTGTAATATTATATAATATAATAAACATGAGACGTGGGGATACAAAATCAGTTACTGGAGTCCCACCGTTCACCAGTCTGAAAAAAAATAATCAAATAATGCCATGAATGTAGAGAAGTCTACAAATGAATGTAGAGAAGTCTACTAATGAATGTAGAGAAACTGAAGGTTACTTGAAGACATCATTTCATAATAACAGCAAAGAGAATAAACATTTTTAAATTCTAAGAAAATTATCTTCATATGTAACAAATTCAAAGTAGAAAAAAGGGAAAAGGGAACGATGTTTATGTTAATTTTGAGTCCTGTTTAACCTGTAGCTAGGAAAAGTTTTCTGACAGCGGTAGTTGAGAGAATTCCTCGAGTGATGAGAAGGTCAGCGACATGCCCTCCACCCAGACATGACAGGAGGCGGGCAATAGGGGGTAGGGAGGACAACAGACCATTCTGTAAGTATACATGTAGAATTATACAGTGAGGTGTTAGATTTCCAAATCTAAAAATAGATCATAATTAAGGTAGATCGACCATTTTCTGCTGCTCACTGACTTGAATGAAAATTTACAAATATAATAACAATGGAGACTACCAAATTAAGTATACTAGTAACCTACCAATCCAAATTTGAAAGATAATATTTACAAGAAAAAATTTGCAAATGACATAATGATTTACAGATCTTAAAGGTATCTATTTAAGCTGTGGGTCTCCCTTAATAAAATGGTTTCAAAGTAAAAGAAAAATACTGTTTACAACCTTTTAAAAAGTCTACAGTAAGAGGGGTTACTTGTGTATATACAAGTATATATATATATATATATATATATATATATATATATATATATATATATATATATATATATATATATATATATATATATATATATATATAATCTTATCAAGTCCTTGATCATATACCGAAGTGACATCGAATTTCAGTACATCATCCAAGTAGAGAGGTACAAAAGTACCAGTGGTTGTAGAGAGGAATCCGTAGCCTAGCTGACAGACAAGTATTCCCCAGAAAGGTCCTGATCGGAGAATGTAGAGCCATGGTGGGTCTGACATCTAGATCAATAACATCCATACTTGAATTTTTTTTTAGATAAATGTACATATAAGGCAAAGAAATTAAAAAAAGTAGTCAATTTTGTGAAAACATGTAAAAGACAATATTGACAGAACATTAATCATCTCACTTTAGCAGCAGTACTGTCTCGTCTCCGATGTCGGATTATTTCTATTTCCGATTGTGTGATACGAGGGTGTTCGTATGGACTATCATAGACCAAGAGAACCCACGGGATTATCATCAGAAGGTTAGATGCACCTTTATATGCAAACGAAAAATATCGTGTTATTGTCCAAAGACCATTGTCTTAAAATGAAACGAAGAAAATCATCAAAAATTAGTGTTGAGCTTTAAATTTTAAATACATGATTCTTCCAACGAGAGAGAGAGAGAGAGAGAGAGAGAGAGAGAGAGAGAGAGAGAGAGATATTAAATAAACTCTCAAGTGGTGTACATGTATTATTATAAGTAATCAAGTCTTTTTCTTGAGATATTTATTGTGTCTATTGAACATATCTATATGAATGCTTAATCTGCATGCAATTAAGATAGAGATGAAAATAATTCAACATGTACTTTTTCCCCTGAACAATGTACAAGCTAATGTATACGATGTCAGGAGCGATAAAGATTCTATAAAAATAAATATCTCACTGAAGATGTACATAATGAGTGGCCAGCCATTGTGTACAGGGATGGTGCAGATAAAACCAGAGGCAGAATAATTCACAATGAAGCTTAAAAATAATCCTGCAAAATATATAGATTACTTTCAGTTCAAAGTGAACGTGAAATGAATAAAGTACATTATAAGTTCCATGTTTTATAATTGGATAAGATTCTGTTCTTATCCAAGATGTATGTTTTCTATTCCTCCGCCTTATCAGTGAGTGAGGATACAATTTGTATGATATATATGATCATATTCAATCACAAACATGGGAGGTTTATTTGATAAATCTTTATTCCTTAGAATGAAATTGGACAACATGAAAGACGCTCAGGAAAGTCATCGTCAAAAAATGGTTTATTATTATTCTTTTTTTCCCACTACTTTTAATGCATGGTTTTACTCCACTTTTCAAATCACTAACACCGTTCACAATATCACATGTAGGATTTTGAAAATAGTGTTCAACGAATTTTCCCCCTAAATTTCATGTTTTTAATTAAATAAACTGTTAGTGATGCTACCCTTGATCTTCCATAGTATAAATGTACACACTTGCATTATGGGGCGAAGGAATACAAAGTATGTGATATGAAAATTATCAATTTTACATTAATGTGTATAAAAAAATTGTATGTGATAATAAATGATAAGATTATTTTGACCTGCCACGGCAGTTGACACAATCTGCGCCCGTTCATTCAGTGGCGCCCACTTTGACAACAGTTCTGTTATGCTGGCTTGCAAACCGCCCTATATAAGAAAAATGACAACTCATTAAAATGCATTGTTTTAAGAAATTAAAAAAAAATCATTCATTTGTATTAAACATTTTGGCACTTACAAAAGAGAGGCCAACAATACACCTAAGCCCGATGGCAATATAGGGATTGATCGTTAATACTAATGGCGTGGCAAATGAAGAGGCGGCCATCAGGAGGAGTATAACAATAATAATCATTTTGGCGCTAAATCTCCCGGATAAATATCCACCAATCAGGGGTGTAAACGGTAAAGCGTAAAACTCCGCCGATAGAATCTGACTTCTGATGTCACCCTGCAGTCGAATATTCCATACCTAGAAATAATAGTTAGTATTCTTTGACGGTAGACCGCACTACAAGAAAATGAATTTTAGTATTTTCGATGTACATGTCCAGATACATTTATTACATGATCAAAGTGGTAAGCAAATGTTTCACACTTAACACTATTTTAACGAATAGATGAGACTGGCTTTTTGCATAGTTTATGAATTTTTTGTATAGTGTGAAGTCTGTTTTATGATTTTTTTTTTATAAATAGTGCTGTTCTTTTGCAATGTTTCGATTCAATACATGGCTAGAAGAACCCTGGTCTTTTCCACACTGCAACTTGGTAAAATTATGTTTTCTTTTTCCTGAGGTATCTGGTGTTTTTGTTTTTGCATATTTTCAGAGTCATCATAACTCCAAACATACACAAAGGTATGGAAAATAAGACGCTAAAAACTACTTTTTTCTGTTCTAAATAATTATACCAAACAATAGAATATATGAGATAATCACATTCTGTTCCTTAGGCTCAGTGATATTATGGGTCGTGTTCGATTGGTTGTATTTCAAGATAGTTGTTGACTCTTTGTAGTTTGATTCCATACAGACGAGGACCATTGATAAACAGTTCTGTAGCATTGGCACAACTACAAAAACCAGAGTACACATGTAAGTCACGACCCACCGGCAGGAAAGGTACTTGCCCAGAAGCCCTTCTGGATCATGGGTCTGCGAATTGACATCAACAGATATTTTGGAAGTGGTGTCATGATTTGTGGTAAAAGATACCGACCCTCTCCTTTCTTCCTTCGAAACATTCTCATTTTTAGCTGCATCTTCAATAAGATTTTTACATACATGTATACAAAATTTCATGAATATGAGTAAAGTGTTTATGGACTCAAGTCAAATCGTTAGGAAAACAATATGAGACAAGATATTGACACACAAAGACAACGAATTGCACTTACCCATTGTTCCTTTCAATAGTCACCCGTAAAAATGCATTTCTTTGTAAAACAAATTTTATATATACTAAAGCATAACATACACAAAATATGGAAGCCGAGATTAGTCTTAAACGTTGTTAACAACGAGATGTTCTCTTTTTCATAAATAATGTGCGCAGCCTTAAAATTACTTTGGTATATACGTAAATTTATACGAATTGATAATCTTTTCTCTAAATTGGATGTAGAAGTTCAACAGAAAACTATTACATGTACATAGAGAAATACTCAGACAAGACTCTTTACTTATGTAATCAATAAAGTTATTTAAGGAACTGTTTTGAAAAAAAATTAAAAGCACTTCAGATCCAAAAAAAAAAAAAGAACAAAAACAAAACAAAACAAAACAAAACAAAACACACACAAAAAAAACACAAATTAAGGATTGACAGAAAATTAATTTGTAAAGACTGATGCAGA